TATAAAAAAATTTTATGTAAGTCGTCTTAAAAAAAAAAAAATTCCTAAATTTTCTCTTGAGGATGAAACAGTTTAACTCAATTTGATTTTAATAATTACAAAACTCTTGCTTTGAAACAAAAACTAAAAAAAATAAATAAATCATTTAAAAAAATGTTTTTTTTTTTTTTTTTTTGTTTTTAAATAAAACAATGCTAAAGAACTCCGGATTATTTACCTAACGTGTTCTTTCCTATTTCTCTAACACACACACACACACACACACACACACACACACACACAAACACACACACACACACATACATTTATATATAGATATATATATATTGGATTTTTATGTTGTTTCGTAATACCACAATTTATGTATTTTCTATTTATATTGTAATATCAAATGTTCTCATAATTGGTGATTTGAAATTCGGGATTACCCAACATTATTAGTTTGTGTTAGCCGAGGATTCCCAAAGACTTTTTTTTAACTTTCCGAAGGTAAGACGATATGTTCAAATACTTATGTTGGTAATTTCATAGAACAACAGAAAACCCAATCAAAATGGTCATTAACGCGTTAATTTCCATTAATTATTAATTATAAAGATTAAAACAAAAATGCAGTATTTACTTATAGACCTAATAAGTATTAGTATTATTTACACTAGTTATTTGTTCACTTATTTTTTTAATAATTCCACTACAAGCAAGGTGTTAATGAAATTAGTACACATGGGCTTACATGGAGTGAAAGTGAAAGAAAACAACTGAGAATAAGATGAAGGTCATTCATGAAGACAGAAGATGGCGATTGATGTTGCCTTTAAATTGTTGAAAGTTTTTCTTACAGAATCACAAATAAAGAATTGTACCATATAACAGGAATCATATCACTTGATTATCACCGGGTGTAACAATTAAAATGAACAGCAAACGCAACTAGAAGAGAACATAATGACATAATCAAGATGTTGACATTCCACACTATTTAAATAAAAGTTTAGGAAGGAAACCCCCATCAGTAATGGAAAGAGCGATAACAGTTACTGGAGTTGAGAAACTTATTTTTTTGAAAATTTTTAATAGAAATATTTTATAAATTTCAACCTAAAGCAGTACTGGTTTTTCCCTCTATGTATACCAAATATTCCCTCATATTTCTTCCTTGAATCATTTCACCACAAGCAAGGATTTTGGCAGTATGGTCGCCTGATTTCATACCATTAGTTATTGTTCTTAGATTTCATAGTAACAACAGAAACAGTAAAAAAATCCAGAAACTTCATTAACCCGTTAATGACTCCACGCAATCCCTTATTAATTATAAAGATTAAAATAAAAATACAGTATTAATCAGTTATTTATAAACCTAACCAGTATTAATATTATTTAAACTAGTTAGTTGTTAACTCATTTATTTTTGTAATAATTTCACCTCAAACAACGGGGTATTACCACTAGTACGCAGGAGCATACATAGAGCGAAAGTGAAAGAGAAGACTGAGAATAAGATAAACATCATTGATGAAGACAAAAAATGATGATTGATGTTGCATTTAAATTTTGAGGATTTTAATTACAGAATCACAAACAAAGAATTGTACCATATAACAGAAAAGATATCACTCAAATACTACCAACAGCAGCAACAACTAAAATGGATAGCATACTTAACTCGAAGAGAAAAAAATAACATAATCAAGACGGTGACATTCACATTACGTCAAATAAAAGTTTAGAAGGGAAACCCCTATCAATACTGGAAAGAGCGATAACAGTTACTGAAAAATTGTTTTAAGAGAAAAATTTTACAAATACCAACCGAAAACAGTACTAGCTTTTCGGACAATGAATGTCAAATATTACCTTTTATTTATTTCTTTAATCATTTTACCCCCAAACAAGGAGGAAATGATACTAAATCGCAGAGGGCGGGGGGGTACATGAAATGAAAGTGAAAGTACGGTTAATGAATATCAAATTATTATTTATAGGGAAACGGTTAATATTATCATTTCCATCTCAGTAAAATACGCTTATAATTCAAACACATAAACATTATTGTTTTACTCAGTTACTCACCCCAGAAAAGGCCCAAGAGCTACTCAAGGTAGTGGATTAGTTAATTAAGTAATTTTATGGGGATATGTAGAACAGGTAGCGATTGACCCTAAACATAACGGTTAAGATTTTAGTGGTGTACCAAATAACAAAAACCATATCACTTGAGGACTACCAATAGCAGCAACAACTAAAATGGTTATCAGATGTAACTCAAAGAGTAAATAAAAACATAATCAACATTTCGAGATTCCACACTACTTCGCATAAAAGGTTGGTGATTGACGTTGCATTTAAATTTTGAAGATTGTTGTTATCAGGGAAGCAAGGAAACGGAAGTTAAGTTCGATAGGCGGGAAGTGCGAGAAAAAAAATCTGTTGGAGTAGAAGAGGGGGTTGCATTTAGCTATTGAAACAGTAATCGGGTGGGACCTAGATGCCACTCTAGTAGCATGCTTAAATCCATGTATTTAAGTCACCAAGAAAGCTCGTCAGAAAATTTTTACATTATTCGAACTCATCTTTGTCGCCATATTTATTACAACGTTTCGGCCGATGTACGATCCGGCCTTCTTCAGGTGGTTGGAATGTCGCAATAGGTAGACTGTTCTAGTTCATTGTTTGATGGATGTCAGTTATCAGTTAACTCCTGTTAATTTATCTCTGAAGTTCTCCACTGCCTTAACCGGGTATTGAACTCACACTCTTTGGGTCCTGTCACTGGATCTAACCAACGCATTTATCCACTGTGACATGTGTTCTTGAGGACATCTAGGTATGAATTTCTGGGTATTATAAACCTAATGTCATCAGCAACCATTTTTACCTGTGCTCATATGGCAATTTTGCTGTTATCATTACATGTTTTACCAGAGCTCATATTGCAACATTGTTGTTATCATTGCTTTTCTCTGGCACTCCTTATTACTGGTTCTCATATTGTATTTATTTCTATGCTTGGTCGGCTCAGGAGATTTTTGTGGCCTAGCATATGTGCTGATGCCTTAAGTTTACGAATTTTGCAATGGTGTTCAGTTCGACATTCCAACAACTTGAAGAAGGCCGAAGCGTGCATCGGCCGAAACGTTGTGATAAATATGGTGACAAAGATGAGGACAATAGTCCGAGTAATGTAAATAATGTACATAATAACTCATCTCAGGAATATAGACAGACTATTAAAATATTTGTAGAAATGTCAATGTAATTTCGGTTTACGAACATTTCGGGTTACGAACGGGCTTCCACTGTAATCGTATCTTTCGTTCCAACCTGATAGAAATTGGCATCTTTAAAATTTAATATCTGATTTAGCACACTAAATTTTATGCCATCCTGCATGGTGTATTGAATGAGATCCACACTGTTAGCCCAACTCTTGTAACCTTATTGCCTGCAGAAAATGAAAAACCAAAATGTTACGTAGAAAAAAATAGTTTCCCTTGATTTTAGCAAACGCCCCCACCCCCATCGTTTTACAAGCTGCTTCCTGTTTTTCTTTCTTTTGAAGAAGAAGAACATTGTGAGACAGAAACACATGAGAATCCGAAGTCAGGTGAATATGGCGGGTGCTGGAGGATTTTACATATCAACTCTTTATGCTTCCCGCAAGGTCTGTTTTGCCACATGCTATCTTGCGTTGTCGTGGTGGAAAATGACCCCTTATCGATTCGCCAAAATCAGCCGTTTTTCTTGAACGCATGCTTTTTGGCGAAAGGCAGCTCAGATATCGATTTTTAAACTCTTACCATTCTCTTTCGTCGAAATTTTCGCCACAATTTCAATCAGAGCGTCTTTCTTGACGTCGAAGTTTTTTCCAATGCGTGATCGATCGTTTAGGTTAAAATCGTCCTAACTAAATAGGCCAAACCACAGTCCGACCACGATACAGATAAACATTCCGGATAGTTTTTTCGTAGTTCCAGAGCTTAATCATTTCCGAAATTTATATTATCCTATAATATGGGGAAAGTGCAAATTTTCAGCCTCTATAAGCCATTCATTTGTGAACAAAACTTCAACATTCAACAAAGCCTTACTCGCAAAAGACCGATGCAAAGATTCAATCTAGAACATACCAGAAGTCAGCATCAAAACAAACACCATTGTCAAGTTGTGATCATTTTATATTAAGAATAAAAATCAAGCACGAACCTTTGAGTGATTCGATACAAACAACAAATATAATATTAAAGTCTAATTGCCTTTGAGCCCACCAACCACTTCTTCTGTTGACAGAGAGATGGTTGGTAGGACTTAATATATATTGAAGGCAAAAATCTTTAGATAAGAATCGATATTAACCTTAATCAGCTCTGAGAATATGTCCGGGCTATAAAACCAAGCACACTGCTGGGTTTTACTCAAATGTTCAGCTATCGCTGAGCCGGACACATTAGCGCGCCAATGTAGATTGTCCACTTTTCCCTTACTAATTTCGGCTGGAAAGTGTTGGGTAAACCGTGTTTGCAACCTGTGACCAGTTCTCCCTTTATGGTCAACATCTCACTGACATTTGAATTTGTAAATTGCATAACTAACATGAACTTTATTCATTAATTGTTAAAACTTCACGTAATTTTACGAATAACATGGGAAAGGCATGGATCCAATTCTCCCTATGCTCATTTTCCTATCGCCGTACATCTTGACAAAATGTTTCGTCAGTCGCACATGAAAATGATTGAATGGGAAAATCAGATGACACTCACTCGCGTAAGTTGTATCAGGAAAAAACGCTGTTATATCCATTATCAGCTTTGACAGGACCCAGCCGTTCAATGTTTGCTTTTCCTGATATGCGAACGCTTGTATAAAATTAAGTGAATAAAAACATTCGCGTGTTTTCATAGCTTTTCGTGTGTAGTTGGACGAGAGGATAGGAAGAAAAATTCTAAATGACCCACAGCTAATAGTTTGTCTTTTTCCCAATTCAAAATTATCCTTAAATGGAGGTCACTGGGTACACAGTACAAAGTAAATAATTAACGAGTAAGCACACATAGCGAATTTGAGAGGGATGGCTGTGTGGTTAGATCATTGGGCGAAAGACTAGGAGGCAATAATAGATTTCCTCTTCCATTAAGAAATATTTAATTTCTTTTTTAAATTATTAGGACTGATAATGAAAATATTCCAGAAAATAAGCAAGGCTTCGTTTCTTTCTTTTTTTATTTTCTTCTTCTTTTTTCTTTTTCTTCCTTCATAGTTTCTCATTTTCTTTCTTTTTCTTATTTTCTTTCTTCTTCTTTACTTCCTTCTTCTTTTTCTTCTTACCCTATCACGTCTCAATTTCTTTCATCTTCTCTTCTTTCTTTTCATTCTTCATCTTTCGCTTCTTTCTTTCTTTCTTTCTTTCTTCATCTTCTTTTCATTCTTCCTCTTTCATTCTCTTTTTCTTTCTTCCGCTTTCACGTCTTCTTCTTCTTCTTCTATACTTGCCTCTTCTTCGTCTTTTCTTTTTCTTTATCTTATTCCTGTTCATTTTTCTTGTTTCTCTATCTTTTCTTTCTCTTTATATTCCATCTTCTAGAATTCTTTTTCTTCATACATTCCATTTCCTTCATTCACCCACTTCTGATTTTTCTTCATACTCATTCGCCGCTTTATTTTTTTCTTTCTTTCTTTCTCTTCTTCTTCTTCTTCTTCTTCTACAGCTTCCTCTTCTTCGCTTTTTTTCTACAACTTCTTTATCTTCTTTCTCTTAATTTTTTCATCGTCTTCTTCTTTTCTCCTTTCTCCTAATTTCTAGCTCCCCCACCTACACTTTTTCCTCTTCTTCTTCTTCTTCTTCTTCTTCTTCTTCTTCTTCTTCTTCTTCTTCTTCTTCTTCTTTTCTCTCTTCTTCTTCTTCTTACTACTACTACTACTACTACTACTATACTACTACTTTCTCTATTTTCTTTCTCCTCCTTTTCCTCCTTCTTCTTCTTTGCTCTTTTTACATCTCCTCTTTCTCCTTCTTCCAATTTTCTTGTGTCTCTCTCTTCTTCTCCATTCTCCTCTTCTTTTTCTTCTTCCTCCTCTATTTCTTTTCATTTTTAAAATCTACTCATATCTGATACTGATGTTCGTTAAACGCTATTCATACTTGAGAATGAAATTTTGTATATATATATATATATATATATATATATATATATATATAAAATATATATACTATGACCCCCCAAGCGCTAGAGATTAAATAAAAGGAGAGTTTATTTAAGCCCAGGTAGCAATAATGGAAATGTAAAATCACGCCTCGTCTGTTGTGTTCTCTTTCACACAATGAATTTCTGCTCGCCCCACTATGGGTTAAATAGCATTGTAGGCGAGGATCTTCAACCATTTCTAGCGACGTGTTTAAGAAAAGGCAACACGAAACTAAACCATTATCTAACCTCATTACATTTATTTTCTCCAACACCACACACTTACACGCGTGTGCGCCATTTATATATATGTATGTATGTCTATATATATATATATATATATATATATATATATATATTAGATACATATTATTAGATCATTAGTAGGGATAATTACAAGAGAATATAAATACAAAGAGAGCTCAATGTAAGAACAGAGCAAAATAATAATAATAATAATAATTAAAGTGGAGTCCTGAAAATTCCATTAGTAATATTTTTTCAAGTGACACAATGAAACAAATTTATTAGCAATCGATTTCTAAGGACTCCCTTTTCATTATATATATATATATATATATATATATATATATATATATATATATATAAATTTTTAAAAAATCAGCAAAGTTTTTGAAGCAATTTTTAATATCAACTTATGATATTTTTTTAAACAGTTTAATAATTTTAACACATACAATATTATGGCTAAAAAAAATAGTTAATTTTATATAAAGTTATTTTTTTCGAAACTTAGCAAAACAAAATGCACTGATCTGGAGATAAAGAAAATCTCAGAATGACGTCCAAAACAGCGAAATTTTTTCATCATTTAATAGTCAGTTATGCTTAGTTTAATTTCTAACGTATATAAATGTAGGTACAAAAATGCAAATGTTGATTAGATAGGGATCGTCGCAAAACACTCCTCCGGCCCCCAATCAGGTTTGCACTTATAGGTTAGGGCGAGATCAGGGATAGTACGCATTGTTCCTCTAAGTAGGGATGGTTTTACTTCTTATTTTTTAATATTAATTTTGTATTGCATTTATTACATGCATCAGTAAAAAAAAAAAAATCTTTTATCAACTTTGGACTTTGCTTTTCTGATTAACTAAACTTTATTCTTTTATTGCTTTCACAGGTTCAAAGTGTAGATCTAAAAGTAATGGCTGTTAAACAATAACTGGATATTTGAAACACGTGTAGTAAAAAAAAATTTTAAAAAATATACAACTAAAAAAAAGAAATTACTGAGCCAGATTTTTCAATAAATATTAAAATCAATTGTTTTTCTTTTATTTCCTTGTTTTTAGCTCACTCTTATTTTATACAGCTTCTTAATTTATACAGCTTCCATATAAATTCACTTGTGTCAGTTACACACACACACATACACCATATCGTCGATAATAGTTTGAAACTAATGATACAGGCATACAGCTGGACGTTACACAACACCCAGATAGTTAGGTACTTAAAGACACACGCAAGCGCAGACATACACACATACGCACACACATACACAAAGTGAGTGAAAAACAGGTGCTCTCGCTCGCACTTACCTCAAACTATGATGTGCCCTGACATCAGATCGTAACAATTTACGGCAGTAGCGGTTGGGATCCACGCGGTACATGTCTGTGTCATTCAAATCATTGTTGAACCGGAGATGTCTTCGGTACGATTTATTACGGCGAGTGTTTTTTTAGCTGGCCGTCTTTTTAACGGACGGATTAATATATCTTCTGGGCCGTAACAAGAAAAGAAGAAGTAGATATAAAAAAAAAAAAAGGCCATTTACTCCTCCAAAGAAATCAACAAAAAAATTATTTTATTTTATTTTATTACGGATTTTATTCTGTAAGACAAACAAAAACGAAAAAGAAAAAGAGAAAACAACGTGGGGTGATCGACTAAGGAGATGGTCAACCGGTTGTGGACTGTCTTTCCGCTGCTAGTAATAATGGCAGCGGTGGCCATGTTGACAGTGGTTGGTGGAGCATTTGTGACCACTGGCGGTAACATGGCCGGAAAAGTGAACAGTCCAAAGTGCACGAGGCAGGAGATCATGTCCTGTGTTTTTCCCGTGTGGAAAACACTGAAGATAAAATATGATCTTTTTCGAAGCACTTCCCGGCTGGAATTTACCGAGTCGGACTTCGGCAATGTGTGCGCCACTCTCCTTTCTCGAATCTACCCATGCATGCAAAAACTGGACTCGACCTGTGACGGCTACACCCTGCACGCACTTCGCACTCTGAATAATACATTTAAGTACATGTGTAATTTAGGTTGGGGAGAGTTCCAGGAGTTCCGGGGCTGTTACACTAATACCACTGACCCGATCGTACGGAACAAGGTACGTCAGTGTTACCAGAAATCAGGGCTAGCTCATCGCGACTTTTTCGATTCAGAAAAGGACATGTACCAAGCCTACCAAACCGACTGGTGGTACCGAAACAGAAGAGAAGAATTCTACCAGGAGCACGTCGACCAAGACCACTCAAGATCTCAGCGACCACCTCACAACAACGACGACAACTACGACAACCGCGATTACGGACATCGACAGCAGACCGAAGAACGCCCTTACCCAGGACACTACAACTACTATTATTTCCAGCATCCAGCATTCAGGGTTCTACCTTTCGGCTATCCTCCGCAATTTGATGAATTCGGACGTTACAATATTCACCCTGAGGATCTCTACAACTACCGGGACCTGTACCACAGGAATTTCTACGACTTCGGCCATATGTATCCCTTTCCATACGGGTACCCGTACGGGCCATAC